ACTCAAACCCAGTACCTCACACATGCTAAGCAAGCACTTTACTACTGAGCCACAACCCCAGCCCAAGATTTTCCAAATAATATGAAACACTACATGTTAAGAACTCGAGTTTTAAAGTGCAAGACTAGGTGTAGTGGCTCATGTCTGTAATCCCTTCTACTTGCTTGGGCAACTTAGTGAGACTCTGAACTAATTAAAATGAAATAAAATGGCTACATGTGTAGCTTAGTGGGAAAGGGAGAGTGCCTGCTCAACATTTATAAGGCCCTAAGTTTAATGTCAGTATAAGGAAAAAAAATTCATAAAAAGATTGAGGGATATTTTTGTAATTTCTTCAGCAAGGCCTCAGCCATATAGGACTTAATCCTAACGAGCAATTCTTCCATTTACATTTTTTATAGAAAATATATTTTAGTCCTGATTGGGTCTTGCCAAGTTGTTCAGGATGGCCTTGAACTTGCAATTCTTCTGCTTTAGCTTCCGGAGTAGCTGGGATTATACACATGTGCCACCCACCTGGCTTTAGCCTTGATTCTTATTTAAATTAAAAAAAAAAACAGACTTATAATTTTAAACCTGAGAAAGAGAAACAGCTGATGTTTCTAGTTCATAGTACATAGCCTTTCTGAACTTTATCTTAGTCTCAGTTACTTTCAGAGAGCTGTCAGAAAATAGCCTTTCATTTAAACTGGTCTTCCTGTAACTTGACTGTTGTGCTACAGGAAGAGTATTCAATGCCAAAGATGTCAAAAAGCTTGGATTTCTCAAGAGTTCCTGGGAGAGAGATTCTAAAAGGCAAGCCAAGGATGTACCCTTGCATTAAGGTCATGTTCTACTTTATAATTCACAATACAATTTCTTCAAGTTTATTACTATTTTATGCCCAAAATACATATGCTTGTATGACAGAACATCACCCCTATCTTCAGAGATCTAAAAAATTACTATCTGCTTGACTTTCTTTTCATTTTATGTGGTTGCATTCCAACCCATGTGATCAATAAGAGTCAAGTAACAGCTTATGCTAAGCTGCAATTTATCACATAGATGCTTAGATGTAGATGTAAAGAAATTGGATTTTTGTAAGTTAACTTATGCGAAATTGTAGGACCCTCTTTATGTGTGACTAGCTTTGGCATTCACCCAAAACTGTCTTTGAATTTGGTGTCCAGATAGAAAAATTCAGCTATACTAGACTTTTAGTATTCATCATGTGTATATAGAGAGTAACTATTACTTGAAAGGATATAAAATTTTAATATGTATACTATGTAACTGTTCAGAAAAATTATTAGATATTTTATTAGCCAATAAATATATATGGAGTACTTCTATGTATTATATATTGTGCTAGATGTCCTTCCCAGAGCAGGCAGTAATTAGGCAAATCTTCAATGACAACCACTATATCTTGCCTTGATTCTTCTCTGAAATTACACAATGAATAAGCATTTTAAAAATGTGTTCCAGGAGCAAGTAAGCAACACATGATAAACTCTTAAGTATAACCAAATACTATTAAGATGTGGGATTTAGAGAAACATCCAGCTATATAGATGGACCAATATATTTGATTACAATCCAGCTTCAAAGAGGTAAACAATTTGAAAAAAAAATGGGGCTCAAACTATAGGCAAAGGTCTTTAAGCATTATCAGTCATTGAGAGCCAAATTCCTACAAAGCTATCCCAATCAGCAACAGAACAAAATCAGGACAGGATAGGGCCTGAGGAGGATGGGATAGAAATTATAAGCGCTGTAAGTGATTGGGATCAGGGCAAGATCCTTTAATCTGCTCTAAGGTAATGAAGGGGCGATTACATACGGCAAAAAGGTACACTGAAGTCCATTTGACATTATGATCAAGTTAGATGGCTAGGTCTCTCTTCTATCCAGAAGAATTATAATTTTTTTGCTCATATGAACTAAATTCATCTTTGGTTATTAAGGAAAGGCATAAATACTTTAGTTTTCTGTATCAGCTGGGGCTACTGAAATGGCACACTGTTCTCAAATATATCTGGTTCAAAATGAATGTAATATAATCTATAAATACTTGATATTTTTAAGGGTGTTATTTTACTGTTGTGACAAAGATTGCATCATAATAACAGCTTATGCTATAGAAGGAAGTTACTTGTAAACAATACACTGATACTTTTGGCATTACAGCATGTGAATAGGTGTTTCTGAAATTCTAAGCATCCACTGTAGGCCAGACTAACATTGAAGAAAAGACTGGCCTTTCATTTTGTCTTACTTTTCATAATTTCAATGTAGCAATGGCAGATAATTCTCATACAAAAAAAAAAAAGAAGATCATAGCTTAACAAAAAATTCTTTGTAACTTCTCCAACTCTGATGTAAAAACAATTTGAAACTAACTTATATCTATTAGAGCTTGCCCATATTTTCAACAGGTCACTCAAATTGAAAACTTCATTTTCATCTGTCACCTTCATTTTCATTAGATGGAATGGCACTGATCAGCACCATTCTTTCCAAGCCACATACACTTTGTGATCTGCTCTTGACTTTAGTATGTCAAGAAAAATAAAATGTAATTTCATTTGAATATCCTTATAATTTATCAAGAACTTTGCATATTTGTGAGAAAAATGCAGCACATAGAGGACATGGTTTAATTTTTAAACCAAACCTAGCTATAGTCAAAATAACACCTAATCAATTTCTCTACTGATTCTCTAAATTTAAAGGAGTACAAGTCATAATCCTCTGAATTATGCCTCGTCTTCATTAACTCTACCTCCAAATTTTAAAATTCTTGGTATTGATGTGCCATAACATTTTTTTACTGTTGATTTTTCTAATTGCTTTTCAAAGATTAACAGGAAACAGTAAAAAAAGTGCTTAACAATTAATTTTTACAAATGTTTTATTGTTACCCTCTTATCTCCCCATCTAAAATTGTTTTCATATTATTGGCTTACAGGTTAATTTTAATTAGAACATAGAAGAACACAAAATAAATATTTCATAACTGTCAATAGAGAAGATCTAGATAATTAAATTGTCATAATCTAGTGAATCTTAGCATTAATAAAAATGATCCAAATCAATATTTATCAAAATCCTGATGGCCTTTTTCTTTTTTTTAAATATTTATTTTTTAGTTTTAGGTGGACACAATATCTTTATTTTACATTTATGTGGTGCTGAGGATCGAACCCAGTGCCTCATGCATGCCAGGTGAGTGCTTTATCCACTGAGCCACATCGCCAGCCCCTGATGGCATTTTTCTATACCTAGTTATGAGGGAAAATCTCTGATTTCTATTATAAGATTTAATATCATCAGTTATTCTTATGATTGGTTAGTATAGAGAATGAAGCCATTAATAATCATGCTTGTGTATTCTCACTCAATTCTTATTAACCTACTTTAAGGAACAGAAGCTCTTTGGAAATTATTTAATAATAATTATTAACCACGTCTTTAAATGAACCTAAACTTATTTTGTTAACGGGTAGTTATCTAGTGAATACTTAATATTTTACTTAATACAGATACTCATGCTAAAAATTATTCAAGTTAATCTCTTAAGACTGATCAGAGAAATTAAGTGTAAACAATAGAATTTGTGAATAAGAACTTGGGGAATATAAATATTTGAATTCTGAATTATCATAAGAAACCAAGCTTGTTTTAAAATACATTAATTAAAAAACACATTTCCCTCATTCCACCGGTACCAACTACAGATTAAAGGACTATTCTCAATTTAGGATATCAACAGCAAAATCAAGTCTCTCTCTTTTTTTTTTGGTGGTATTGAGATTGAACCCAGGGCCTCGTGCATGCTAGATAAGGGCTATATCACTGAGCTATGTCCCCAGCCACAAACTTGACTCTTAGTTTATAAAACTTTTTTCTTTTTTAGAGGATGAGATGAAACACACACACACACACACACACACACACACACACACACACACGTGTGTATGTGTGTGTGTGTGTGTGTGTGTGTTATGTTTTTATTCTGTTCCCTTGCCACAGTACTTTTCATATAGTAAATATTTGTTTAAACCTGTGAACACTGATATGCAATTTACATTCTAGGTTGGAAAACGGACAATAAATGTTTAGATTGTCCCAAGAAGGCTCATTATCCAAATAATGTATGGATAAGAAGAGAAATTCCTACCATTTATTATAAACCCAAGATATTTCTACCAAATTGATTGTTATTCTGGATGTGTATTTAAGAAAGTATTACTTTGAAAAGTCAAATTTCCAGGGCTGGGATTATGGGTCAGAAGTACAGCACTCGTCTAGCAAATGCGAGGCGTTGGGTTTGATTCTCAGAACCACATAAACATAAATAAGATAAAATAAAGGTACTGTGTCCAACTACAACTAATATATATATATATATATATATATATATATATATATATAAAAAATTGAAACTTCCAAAAGTTTCAATGAGAATTAACTTGATTTAATTGGAGAAAATTGTACAGCATAATATGACTTCTTTAGAAAAGCAGCTTTCTAAATTTAATTTGGAAAGAGAGCAAGTATTTTCTATACGTAGTTTTAATTTTATTCTATACAACACAGTAAAGTTTCTAAAGTATTTAGGTTCCAAATTTCAATCCATTAGGGCAGAGTATTCATATTACTCAAAATAATAGTAACTTCTTAAACACCATTGAGTCCATTAACTTTTAATGAAGACAGCTAATGAGAAATATGACAATCCTACATCATCTGTGTGATGCCTTTGCATTGTTCTAGCTGGAGAACTTGGGGAACTGCATTAATGTATAATATAAACAGTTAAAAGTAGATATAACTTTAAAGTCTTTTTTAAAAAAAACTTTTACATGGATATTTCAGTTTTTCTTTCAGGTGACTCTATACACAAACTACAGACAACTCAAAACAAATTTTATGTAATTTATAATTCAACTTAACTCATTTTATAGACCTTTTTGTTCTCTATGAATAAATAAAAGGAAAAAGGTTTTACTTACTGGAAAGAACAGTTGTAAGGAAAATGTAATCTGAAAAGGATATGAGCCCACATTCTCCAAGGGTGTAAAATATACTGCCTTCATCAGCAAATTTTTCTCGTTCCTGGGAAATTTTCTATTAAATATATGGATCACCAAAAGATAAAAAGAAGACATAACTGAAATTAGAACATAAATAGTGAAAAATGAAACACCATTAAACTCACAGTTTTATACTATTTATCCTAAGCATTTCTCTGATGGTCACTCAAATGAGGGGATCCTTTACAGTTTTTGAGATGATAAAAATTCCAAGACAAAAGATGATTTTATCATTTAAAGACTGGGCTAATATGAATATTAGAAAATAATTTCAGTTTTATAAACCTCTGCCATTGAACAAGCAGACCCACTTCAAAATTAGTTTTGCTTCTTTTAAAAATAATCCACCTTCAAAAAAAATAATAATCCACCTTCTTCTATTGAAATATATAAGGTAATACAAAAAAAATCAAAACAAAAACATGAAAAACTAAAAACTAAAAGGAAATTAGTTCTAATTGCCTAAGAAAAACTAAACTGCTAGTGGTCAGCAATGAAGAGGTATATGACTATTTTCAAAGCCCATACAAATGCTCAGAAACATTTCTGAAATATTAATTTTAATTTTTACTTTATCACTGCAAGAATCTTAGTTTTGGAACACAGAGCAGAATACTGAGCAAGTGACATCTGAAATATTATGCCAAATTAGACATGAAAACCAAGGTTTAGAACAAATTTAATTATATTTACTATTATACCTTAGAAGAGGCTTCTAAATTTCAGCTACTTGATAAAACTGTCTCCTAAAGCTTAACCTTCACTCTACATATATATTCCTTTTCTTTATAAATCACAAAGAAAGTGAATTCTTAGCTGTAGTAATGGCCTATCTGTAATGGCCTATAGTCTCTTCCTGAGTGTTTAACCAATGCTGTCATGTTTTCTGAATTCTTAATCAAAGCATAAACTCAGTGGTGACACTGAAGATATTTTCAAAAACTGAAAAGGATCCACCAAAGAACAACACTTGGAACAAAATTTCCAAAGGTTCTGGACCAACCAATATTTTATAAATTATTCAGAGTATCAAATAAAAAAGAAAGAAATAGATTTTAGGAACTCAAACCAACAAAGCGCAATCAAAATAATAATCTCATGCAAGCACAAAAGAGGAGGCAGCATTGCAGGCATAACTTCAGGAGTTCCATGAAAACTAAACCAACAAGCACCACCACACCAGCATCCAGGAACACAACTATCCAATGGGTTACCTCTGTCTAGTGAAGATCCCATCATACATCACAAAAGAAAGAAAACTGGTTAACTAATTGGAAAAACACAAGTACCACATGAATTATCATGAAGTCAGTTTGCAAGATCTTCTTAATAAACTCATTCAAAATAACCTCCACTGGGTATATGCTTGTTCATAAGAAATAGTCACTATGCCAGGTAAAAATCCACAGGTAAATACCAATAAAACCGCACAAGGTTTTCATGACAGATGCTATTTAATGAAAGGGTTCTCTGACTTCATTAGTGGCTGACACAAGACATGATCCTGCATGACAGCATTTACAGATTACTTCTTTGACCTGACAACAAAAATGAGCATATAGGGCTGGTGATGTGGCTCAAGGGGTAACTCGCTCGACTGGCATGTGCGGGGCACTGGGTTCGATCCTCAGTACCACATAAAAATAAAATAAAGATGTTGTGTCCACCGAAAACTGAAAATATTAAAAAAATTCTCTTTCTCTCTAAAAAAAATGAGCATATAATCCAATATATTCTAATTAAGGTGAGATTTTATACCACACTTGATTTTCTGTCAAGAGATTAAACATAAATAACAAACCAAAAAAGCTGCTGGAGGAAAATGAGGGCAGCAAAGTCATTCACGGGTTAATATTTAAATTTCTCAAAATAAAAGAAACAGTTATATTTTTTATTTCCCAAGATGCTACAAAATAAAGTATGTGAATAGGAAAAACTACACAAAATGAGAACAGACCCCCCAAACTAGGCCTTTACTAGCCAAAATACATACAGAAGCTAAGTAATTAATAATGTAATAATCTCATGGAGAGATTACTGTAATCAATTAAAATAAATAATACATCAGAGCTAACGTTGAGAAAATGAAAAAAAAACAAATAACCATACCTAACATTATTTTTCTAATAATACCTGGACCATGGGGCTACTCTAAATACAAAAGAAAAATCTAATCTTGTTGGTAATTATAAATTTTCACATTATTTCAAACTCACAAAAAAGTTGAAAGACTAGTATAAGGAACTAGAATATACTCTTTACCCAGATTCACCAACATCTTACCCCACTCACTTTATCATAATGTAGAGATATACTTTTTTTGTACCACTTTGAAGATAAATCGGAGATAGTGTCCTCTTTTACAATTAAATACTTCAGCATATATTTCCTGTTAAGATATTCTCACCACAGCATAAATTCAATAAAACCAGGAAATTAAATATTGATACACATATTATCTAATCCAGTCCATTTTCACATTTAGTAAACTATCCCAATTATTGCCTTTATAGCTATTTTACCCCAGTTCAAGATGTATTAAGTAAACAACATTTAGCTGTTATGTCTATTTAGTCACTATTAATCTGAAACAGCATTTCCTTATAATTCTTTATTTTTTCTTTTGAGGTTTATTATGTATAATTGTGGTAAAATTCACATAGAAGTTACCATTTTAACTATTCAGACATTCAATGTGTGTTTGGCTTCTAACGCTTAAGGCTAAGTTCACCCATGTTTTAGCATCAATCAGTACTAATTCCTTTTTATTGTCAAATAATATGATTGTATACACATACCACATTTTGTTTAACCACTGAAATGTTGGAGCACATTTAGGTTATTTTCACCTTTTGGCTATTTGTAAAAATAACTGTTTGATTATCTGTTGTCGTTTCTTTTCAATATACACCTAGGAGTGGAATTGCTCCATCATATGACAGCTCTATACTTAAAATTTTTGAGGATTATCCAGAGGTTACATCATTTACATTCCCTTGAGTAGTGTTAAGAGGGTTTCAGTTTCTCTACATCCTTACCAACACCTGGCCTTTTTTTCTTTTAAAAATTATAGGCATGTTCATGGGTATGAAATGATCTCTCATAGAGGTTTTGATCTGCATTTCCCTTGTACCTAATGAGGTTGAGGATCTTTTCATGTGTTTGTTGTCCATGTGAAATGTCTATTCAAGCCCTTCACCCATTTTTGAATTGGTTGTCATTTTGTCTTATGATTGAAAGTTTTTAATATTGGTGAAGTCTAATTTAACTATTTTTTATTTGCTGTTTTTCAAGTTTTATCTAATGCTCCATCATGAACCTTTACTCTTATTTTCTGAGAGTTCTATAGTTTTAACTCTTTTATTTTATCTTTTTAGGTTGTTGATCCTTTTTTTTAAATATATTAGGTGAGGTTAGGATTCAACTTCATTCTTTTTACATGGATATCCAATGGATGCACCGAAGATGACTATGTTTTTACTACTGGATGGTCTTGGCACACTCACTGAAAGTCAATCCATCAGGAACTTGAGAAAATTATGTTAAGTGAAATAAGCTAAAATCAGAAAGTCAAGGTTTGTATTCTTGAAATTAGAGAGAAAAAGGAAAAGAAAGGGTGGGGGAAGACCTTACGATAATTAAAAGAAGACCAGTAGTTATAGGAAAGCGAAGTTGACAGAATGGAGGTGAGGAAAAGGTGAAATACTGAGGAATGATTTGTTATACCGTGTGCATGAACAAATATATTAACAATGAACCACACCATTACATACAATTATAATGCACCAATAAAATATGTGAAAAAAATGGAAGAAAGAAGAAGAAATCCACCCATTACATGGGTTTATTTCTAGATTCTCACTTTCATACCATAGTTTATGTCTATCTTTATGACAATACTACTGTTTTTTGGTTTTTTTTAGTTGTTGGATACAATACCTTTATTTTTTTTTAAAAGTATCACATTCTTTTAAAAATATTTTTTAGTTTTAGGTGGACATAATATATTTAATTTTTTTAATGTAGTGCTGAGGATTGAACCCAGCACCTCATGCATGCTAGGCGAGCACTCTATTACTGAGCCACAACCCCAGCCCCTATTTTATTATTTTTATGTGGTGCTGAGGATTGAACCCAGGGCCTTGCACATGCTAGGCAAGTGCTCTACCACTGAGCCACAACCCCAGTCCCAGTACTACAGTTTTTTTTTTTTATAATTGTTTTAAAAATTGGGATAAAATGCAGGTAACTTAAGATTTACCACTGTAACCCATTTTAAAGTGTGTCTTAAGCTTTGTTTTTCTTTCTCCCTACTTCAGGTTGGATAATATCAATTGATGAATTTTCTTTTTTTAAAAAATATCTTTATTTATTTATTTTTATGTGGTGCTGAGGATCGAACCCAGTACCTCACATATGCAAGGCAAGTGCTCTACCACTGAGCTACAGTCCCAGCCCAATTGATGAATTTTCAAGATCACTGATACTTCTCACTTCTTACTCAAATACGCTGGTTTTACATCTCCAGTTTTTTCACCTCAGTCATTATACTTCAAAGGTCCAGAGTTTTTATTTGGTACTTTAAAAAAAAATAATAATTTCTACATCTTTACTAATATCCTTTTACTTCATATATAATTCTCCATGTTTCTTCTGGCTATTTGACTATACTAAGGATGGTTGATTTAAAGTCCCTGAATAGTATACCTGTGCTTCAAGGAAACTTCTTTTAAAAAATTTTTCTGCGACTGTGCCATATCTTATTGTTTCCATGCAAGCATGACTTCCTGTTGGATACTGGACATTTATTGTATTATCATGTGGTAAGTCTTCTTATTGTTGAAGTTGTTTTAGTGACTTTTCTAAACTCTCTTAACCTTATTGATCAGCTAGTTGTTTACTTAAATGCCTGAAGTTAAATGGGGAAATATACTTACTCTCCAGGTCTTTCCAGTTTGGTTATTGGGAATTTCTTCAATGCTTGACCAGAATGTTTACAATTTTCCCTTAGCCTTAGATTCCTGCTTGCATGGG